TTTACCATCTGCTGTTATCGAAATGTCACACACTATTTATTTATTTGGATTTAGTCTTATTACCTTGTGTTTACAATCTTACAAATTTTCAAAAACTCCTGAGAGGTGAAACGAAGAGTATACTGCAATAGAAGGGTGTCTGTGTAGCGGAGGGATGCTTGGCGCAGCGAACAGCTTGACCTGGTGTCTGGCCAGCACAAGTGGTACGTGGCCTCCCACTCCCGGCCTACCTTCTGTAACCTCTGCCGGGAAGCACTGCCAGGGGTCACCTCCCACGGCCTCTCCTGTGAAGGTAGGCCTCTCCTCTAGATGCCTATATATGTATATTACAAGAAATAATTTTCTGTTGATTTTGGAATTAGAGATATAGAATTATTACTTACTGATTATTTTTTTGGATACATGAGTATTTTATGATATTGTTATTGATAAGGCACAATTTGGATTATAGATTATAAACACAAGGTAATAAGACTAAATCCAAATAAATAAATAGTGTTTGACATTTCGGTAACAGTGTTGTTACCATCATCAGACAAAAGTATAAATCTTTTCCATCTAAGCCATTTATTCTTTTGTCGGATGATGGAAACAATGCTGTTACTGAAACGTCACACACTATTTATTATTTGGATTTGGTCTTATTACCTTGTGTTATTGGTATTGTTTTGCAGTCACATGAACAGAATAATAAAAATAGTTAAGTTCAGAAATAGCTTTAATTGAGCTTATTGAATATAAAATACATCATTTGAGAAAGTATTGCCTGATTTAAGGCGTAAGAATAAAGAAAATGAAAGGCTTATTTACATATCTACAAAAGATTTGAGCCGGCCAACAGGAAACAACAACAATAGGTTTTATATAGGAATAGCAGCGACATCTGGTGGTCGACTTAACAGAGTAGTTTGTTCTAAAAATTATAATTTTAAAATAACATATTTATATAACATACTAGACGAATGACCCGGGCAATGCCCAGGTTTACACGATTAAATGTATTATTCAAACACATAAAACATAGCAAATATAGCAAGAGCAGTTATTTTAAACGGTGAATTAGATCAGTTATAGCAAAAAATGAAAATATATATGTAAATATGTGAAATAGTTATAAATTAGAAAACCTGTAAATATAGTTAAGGACTTGCATTGTAATTAAGAAAAAGCTTCTCATCTAGAACGCTCAGGCGACCTGCCGGCGGCGCGCGCCCGTTGGCTGCCGGCGAGCACGTGACTTCCCTGTGCGCGCGCATGGCTGTCGGCGAGGGCTGTTCCACGCGACCGCCCGCCATGCGCGCGCACAGGGAAGTCACGTGCTCGCCGGCAGCCAACGGGCGCGCGCCGCCGGCAGGTCGCCTGAGCGTTCTAGAGGGCGCTGCTCGTGAGCTAAGTCGAATAATTTTAATATATAGTTTTAATAATTGATTTATATATATTTTAAATAGCCTATCGTCATCCCCGTTATTTTTTACCTATGTATGGAAATTTTGGTTTGAATTAGTGAACTACTGCGAATTTGTATACCGGACATACAAACCAACAAACATACAGACATTCATTTATATATATATATATATATATAACATATATATATTTTGGGGAACTCTTCTGACTGAAGGTAAGGTAGCACTGTTACTGAAACTTCACTTAGAATTATTTTATTTATTTTTAGATTTTGTCTTGTTATAGCTACAAAAAATAAGACCTAATCCAAATAATTTAATAGTGTGTGACATTTCAGTAACTGAATTGTTACCATCATCAGACAAAAGAATAAATATTTTCCATCTAAACCATTTATTCTTTTGTCGAATGATGGTAACAATGCTGTTACTGAAACGTCACACATTATTAATTTAATTTAATTAGGTCTTTTTTTTTTTTTTGAAGCTATAATCTATAATTCAATTTGTGTTTTATCAATTTTGTCTTGTTGAGTAACTATGAAGAAGGTTTTGGTAGCATCATTGCCTTCATCAATGTCATTAAACTGTTACTGACACATCTATTTACTGTCTTGAACTTTGCAAGATTTAAACAGTAGGGAATACTCTGTGCAGTATGCAAGTTCAAAGCCCACAAGAAGTGTGCGGTGAGGGCCCCCAACAACTGCAAGTGGACCACCATCTCCTCCATGGAGAGCAATGCAGTGAAGGATGAGGACGGGGTGAGTTTCCCTAGCCCTGCTGTTATGGGCAATATAACCATTGGAATGGTTTTAACGTGTTAGCAATATGAGTGACCTAATCTGTGAGAAGCAACCACCTTATTTATTTATTTCAATTTAAAGCGCTATGTCCCCCTAGGGACACTTGCCATGTTATACATGTATGTCTTTACATTTGTCTATACAATAATTTTAGGCCTTGAATAGAATAGTCATATGATATTAACAAGGAGAAAGAGAGAAAAAAAAATGAGAAAAAAGAACTGTGTACAAAAGAAAGAAGTCTGGCAATATGTACAATCAGCATAATATAATTTATGGTGAGATGATTTGAACTAAAGTGGATGGTTCCAACTGGGACCTTGTATGGCGGAGGAGGAGGAGGAATTATCACTCTAACTCTCATGATGATAATCATTATAAAGCTAGAATCATATATTCCTAATCTAGATCATACTCAAAATCATACTCAAATACTAGAAAAATTCAGCAAATATTCTTCAAATACAGAAAAAAGATTACAATTTCTCTTTGTCATCGTGGTGCATTGGTAAGTTTATAAAATGACTGATACCTCATTATTTCTTAGGTTTATAATTTGAACTTTCCAGATTAAATATTTTAATCTTCTTTCAAAGAAATATTTCTGATATAGGATGAGCTAGGTCTTTGAATCAGTTGACGAGTGGATCGTTCTGTTCAGAAGAGCTACCGCTCTTATATGAGTCACTATTCACTTGCTCCATAAAAAAGCTTTTTGAATCAGCTCGCAAGTGGATCGTTCAGCACTTACTTGTAGGTACAGAAGCATTTGGTGAAGGGTAGTTGTTCCAGCAGTCTAGGAGTTGGCTTCTCTTACAAAAGAACTTGATTGTTCATTTGTATTATAATATCCCAGTGGACGGTGGTCTGAAGCAGTTTGAACTCAACCTCTACTGAGAGACTACCTCCACGAGGAACCAGGGCTATCCATGTTTTTTTAGGATTTAGTCTCTCATGTGAGACTCTACTGTTTCCAACAGCCACTATGATTGTGGTTATTCTAACCTCTCCAATTTGGAAAATGGTTTGGGCAAGGCTGAACTTCCTAATTCAGCTTACCTTTCTTTCTTTGGTTTTTCTCTGTCAACACATTGTGACTTTGTCATGTGAAAATTAATGGTCGAAAAACTGACTAAACCCTACAAGAACTAGATTAAAAAAATTTGAAATTAAGAAATATTAAATGTTGGTGACTATTTTGTTGCTGTCACTGTCAAAAATATATAGATTTTCACACTGGTTTGACCTACAGGGCTCACTAAGTGGTGCCATTTCAATGCCTCTGATCCAGTTGTCTAGCGACCTCTACTTTGTGTGACTCATCTTTACGGCTAGAATGGTTTTCTCCCTGGGACTGACATGTTCAGCTCTGCCAGAAACATCTTCAGGATTAAATGGAGAGTTACAATAAGGGAAGTTTGGAGAAGTTTTAATGGAGACCATAGCCATCTCTGAATGCAAGGTTGTAGGACAAGTACTTTGTTCAAGGAGATTGTCATTTAGATGGATTCACCTTGAAGTAGATCAAGGAAGGATTACAGAGAGAGAGAGAATGATGTGAAAGATATGAAAGGATGGGAAAAGAATTAACCAGAATATAGTGAATGACATTCAACAATGACCTACCTCCGTATAAGATCATGGATCCTTTAGGTAGGTCATTGCTACCTCTGAAATGTTCTTGCTTAGAATCTTATGGTACTATTTGGCTGTCAAATCCTCTCTACCCTGAGGGATGTCAATTATTTACTGGGGTTTTCAATGTTTGCAATGTTTTGTTTTAAAAGCATGATGCAAAAATATCAACTAAATAGAGTCATGTTGCCTTTATATAATTTTATATGCAATACTAATTTTGACTTTTTAAAAAAATCAAGATTTATCACATTTAAAAAATAGTTTTATAAGTTGTATCACACTTTGTATCCCCCCTCTTGTTGGACTGGCTGAAGAGCCTGTGTGCTGCAGAAGTGGGTGATGGTCCACCAGTGGGTGGAGGGCAACCTGCCGGTCAGTGCCAAGTGCACCCACTGCGACAAGACCTGCGGGAGTGTGCTGAAGCTACAGGACTGGAGGTGTCTGTGGTGTAAGGCCATGGTGCACACGGCCTGCAAGCCTGTCTTCCCCTCGCGGTGCTCCCTGGGCCCCTGCCACATCTCTGTGGTGCCCCCCACTGCCTTGCACTTCTCTGACGGCCAGTGGAGCCCCGGCCAGCCCCACAGCTCCAGCCCCCTGCTGGTGTTTGTCAACTCCAAGTCCGGGGACAGCCGCGGACTGAGAGTGC